CAGAACAGTGAACCATGAACAAAAAAAAAGGGTTTAGTTGCGTTTCCCCACCATTTTGTTTCCGTGTTTTGTTCAGCGTTTTGTTTACTGTTTTTCCCCCATGGATCCACTCGCCGCTTTTTTCACCTCCCTAGCCCGTAAAGAACTGCCCTTTGGGGAGTATGTGGTTGAGTTCAGCCAGCTTGCCACCGCCTCATCGACCACCCAGACACCACTCGACTGAGCTGGAGGGAAGGGATCATCCGGTGCCTGGAGAGCGTCTATCCCCAATACAGAGCACAGCCAGACCCAGAGCCCAGCCCATCATCAACCCACTGTGCGGAGCTCAAACCCGAGCTCACCGCTGATGGAGAGCCCAAGACCGCCAAGCCATCGCTGCATGGAGCGACAGAGCTGAGGATCGCCGCAGAGCCGGAGCTGTTTATGACGTCAGACCAGGAGCGAGAGCCAGCTACAATGCCCGCCACTAGGGAAAAAGCCGTGGACAGCGAGAGCGCGGAGAGGAGCTCTGCCCACTGCACCATGGCTGAGGGTGAGCTTATTGTGTATCTGGGACTGTTGGACTTTGAAAGGGAATTAATAGACTGGGAGGCAGATATACAGTGGGTACGGAAAGTATTCAGACCCCCTTCAATTTTTCACTCTTTGTTATATTGCAGCCATTTGCTAAAATCATTTAAGTTAATTTAAGTTAATTTAAGTTAACTTCATTTGAGTCCAGCTGTGTTTGATTATACTGATTGGACTTGATTAGGAAAGCCACACACCTGTCTATATAAGACCTTACAGCTCACAGTGCATGTCAGAGCAAATGAGAATCATGAGGTCAAAGGAACTGCCTGAAGAGCTCAGAGACAGAATTGTGGCAAGGCACAGATCTGGCCAAGGTTACAAAAAAATTTCTGCTGCACTTAAGGTTCCTAAGAGCACAGTGGCCTCCATAATCCTTAAATGGAAGACGTTTGGGACGACCAGAACCCTTCCTAGAGCTGGCCGTCCGGCCAAACTGAGCTATCGGGGGAGAAGAGCCTTGGTGAGAGAGGTAAAGAAGAACCCAAAGATCACTGTGGCTGAGCTCCAGAGATGCAGTCGGGAGATGGGAGAAAGTTGTAGAAAGTCAACCACCAGTCGGGGCTTTATGGCAGAGTGGCCCGACGGAAGCCTCTCCTCAGTGCAAGACACATGAAAGCCCGCACGGAGTTTGCTAAAAAACACCTGAAGGACTCCAAGATGCTGAGAAATAAGATTCTCTGGTCTGATGAGAACAAGATAGAGCTCCACCATGGCTCCTAGCTCCCTCCTCTCCGCCGTGGCCCGGTAGTCCACTGGCTCCTCCGGGCTCCCTTGTCCTTCCGACTCCACCTTGGTCTGTCGTCGACCATCCGTCGCCTCGGGACTCCACTCCTCCGGCTGTGCCTCGTCCCTCCGTCCCTCTGGCTCTGTCAGTCTCCTCCTTCCCTTCGGCTCCTCCTCGGTCCTCTGTCACTCCGGCTCCACCGCGGCCTTCCGAATCCCCGCCATCTGCTTCTCCTTGGCCCACCGGATCCTCCCCGTTTCCCTGGCTCATCAGCTCTCCGTCTCTGCCTCGGGCTCCTCCACCTGCTCCGCCTTCAGTCGGCCCCCTGGAGTCGTCAGCCCTTCCTCCACCATAGCTGCTCCCTCCGTCGGCTCCACCGTGGGTTGCCTTCATGGTTGTGGCCTGGGTCCCACCTGGGTCCGCCTGCTCCAAGTTCCTCCAGGCTCCTCCCAGGCTCCTCCCTCCATCTGGTCTGCCCTGGCTCCTCCTGTCTCCTCCCTAGCTCCTCCCTCCGTCATCTCCACCCTAGACTCTGTTTGCTGTCCTCCTCCCGGGTGTCCGTCTTTCACCCGAACCTCCTCCTGAGTTCCCCTCTGTCCCTCCCTTTGTTGTTCCTGCGACGCGAGGATGCACCTTCCGGGAGGGGGGCGAACTGTCACACTCCTGGCCTATTTGTGTGTGTGTTTTTTTCCCCATGTGCTCCATGACCTAGTTTTGTGTTAATTCGGTTCAGGTGTGTCTTGTCATCTTCCCTCGTTTAGTTTTGTATTTAAAGTGTTGTCCGTTCCTTTGTTCGGTGTTGTCTATACCAGTGTTTCCCAAACTTTTTTTAGTCGCGGCACCCTTTGGAAATTTTAACAAACTTGTGGCACCCTACAAAATTTATTTTGTCACAATATTTGAATTTCTAACTTCGATATGATAATTTGAAAAGTGTAGATATTCGGTACAACAGGGAAGAACTGCAGAATATAATGTCATACAGATATTTTTAATATTATTAAAAAATTTGTCAATCAATGGTGATAATCAGTAGGCTAATTTCTAATGAAGAGACCAATTTATATGACAGATTTTAATGTAGGCTTTTATACATATGTAAACATTATTTAATTACCATTATAACTAGCTATCTCACAAATTTTTGCTCACTCAGTGTTTTTTTAATTTTACAGTGGGGTAATTTTGGTGCAGTAGCACGAGATAGCTTGATTTCAAACTTTGAACTGAATAAAAAATAACAAGTAAGCAGTCAGTAATAAAATAAGAAATAAAGAAATTAATAATGATAGCACAAATTAAAAATAACGACAGGCCTTCGAATTAAATAAATTGCTTTTTAGTTTTTCAGGTAGGTCTAACGGGTTAAGATATTTAACTTTTTTTTTAAATTTGTTTTTTTTTACGAATTATCCAAATAATGTTCAGTCCTAGAAAGCTATTATTATCAGAACACGTGAGCATAACATAGCGGTTGCAGATCAATGAATGAGAGGGCAGCGTTACCAGAGTTGCCCATAGGCTATACCACACCATGTTACAACACAGTAGGGCTATTGCAGACAGAAACAATAATGTACTACATCGATGTTTCCTGTCGGCTCAATTTTCTCTAATTATTGGCGACATCAGAAATGGATATTATATAATAGATGCTTTTTTGAACATTATAGTAATTTAAAAATATTAAAAAAGGATTTTTTACACGGCACCCCTCCTCTCCACGGACGGCACCCCGGTTGGGAAACACTGGTCTGTACTATGTGGTCTGTGTGTTCCTGCCTGCCCTGTGTTACCTCTATTTGGATTATTAAAGACTGTGATTTGTGAATCTCCTGCATCTCCGCATCCTTCGCTCCTGCACAGCAGACACTCCTGACAGTATGCTAAAGGTTACATTTTTTTCATAAGGGTAGTTGGTGAATAAAATCAGTTTAGATGTTATAACCACTTATTTTAGATGTTACCACGACACTCATTTTTGTTGTGGTGATGTTTTTGTCCTAACCATCTGCAATCATGCGGCAGGTAACATTAAATATTTCCATATTAACTGGTGACTGTGGCATGTCACACAGCATTTTCACACTGAAAATGCTGGAATCAAGTCGGTTAGGACACAGTGTTAAATTTTGTCCACCAGTGTGACTGTGAAATGTGTGTGTGTGTGTGTGTGTGTGTGTGTGTCTCTGTGTGTTATATGTATGTGTGTATAACTGACTTATAATAACACCACTGTGAGTAATGGCAAAAAAAAGTGTTCCTTCATTCATTGGGAAATAAACCAAAGTTGTGGCAAGACAGCTTGTGTCCTGAGTTTGATGTGAGTGTGTGTATGCATGTGCGCAAGTGTACAATTTTGTTCCCTTTGCTCCTTTAACCACCAAGGCTCTGACTTAGAATCCTGAGTCTAAAGAGGTAGAAAGGTCAGGCACAAACTGGAGGAGAGAAAAAGAAGAGCTGCACTGGCATTTCCATGTCTAAGAGCATGATGACCTGTTGAACTGTATGGCTGATTTACGGCTAATATATGGCTGATGTGGTGCGTTTTTTCAATCCTAGTCCTGTGGACTTACTGCTCTGCATATTTTGTATGCCCTCATTATTTAACACACATGATTCCGATCATCAGCGGCTCAAGAAAGAACTCCATGAACTAAACTCTGGGGACTAAACTCCTGGGGACTTTGCATATTTTGTAAGACTCTTATCTAATCCAGGTCTTCGATTGGGTCGTTAATGGCAGTTGATGAAGATCCTGCTAGGTCCATGATGCAGACTAGTTGTATGTTAGGAAGTGGACACACTGGATGACAATGAACCCAACAACAGGACTTTATTGTAGGCCGGAAAGTAACACTTAACTGAGTAACACTTAAAATGATGAGTACAGTATAACTCGTTTGAAGTAATGGTGCTTCATATAACATTATCCAGAGAAACAAGTGTTAATGATAAATCCCCTGTGAT